TGTCCGGGTGAAGAAGCTGCAAAAGGTTCAGACTGCGGACCTGAGTAACTCTACAAATCCGAATAGAGATTTACTGACTCATTATTAGAGAAAAGCACCGATGACGGAATTCATCTCCCTCCACCAGCTCTTCCATGTCATCCGCAGCTGGTTAGCAAAAAGTTCTTGAATAAAACCAAGGATAATTCCTGACATGTGTGCTAATTAGTCACATGACCTATCACGTTAACACAAGGGAAGTCACACGAGCGTTTTTACGGCATGATGCTTACCAGCTGCCACTTTTATACAAGACATATTTAATTTTGATGAATGTTTAACAAAAACAATATAAGAAGACCCTAAACAAAGAGCTAAGATGGTAAACCTAGTTTTTTGGAACAGTATTGACATTTTTGGTCCCTGGTATCCCTACGTACTACTGTTGATTTTCTTCATTATCTACATTTTGAACCCTTTCTGGTCATCAGACTCTATCTCCTCTTCTATTTTCAATGTCTTCTTGGTTTTTACAAGTGTCAAAGAAAATTAAATTACACATTAGTACATGTGATTTTTCATCTAATTGGTCACATGACCTGTCACGAAATCACATGAAAAGTTACATAAATAGCATTTTTTAAGTATGGTGATTTCCTAATGCCATTTTTATACAAGACATATTTACTTTTGTTGAATATTTGAGAAAGACAACGTAAGCAGACTCTAAACAGAGTGATCAAATGGTAAAATCAAGTTTTTTAGAACAGTAGTGACATTTTGGTCAAATGGTACCTCTAAATACTACTGTTGATTTCCTGCATTATTTACATTTTGAACCCCTATCTGGTTATCTGACCATATCTCCTCTTCTATTTTCAATATCCTTCTATTTACAGGTGTGAAAGAAAATTAAATTACGCATCAGCACATGTGATTCTTGACCTAATTAGTTACATGATCTGTCACGTGACAGCCTTGGTTGTCATATCAACAGCAATTTTTAAGGGTGACACGTCCTTGGCACCACTGTTCTTGACCACTTGAAAATGCCTGGAACAAATCTTCAAAACGGCTGTCGTCACTAAAATTAAAGGGACTCACACTGACAGTCTTCAAAATGTTGACGCGATTATTCTTCTTTGAATGGTTTTGAAAAGGCTGTTTACAATAATGCAATCAAGGTGGCTCAATACACTATGTCGTCATAAACAAAGATTTGGAAAAATTGCCACCATAGTTGTATTACATGAAGATAAAGATGGAGATTTGTTATGACCAGGGTTGCAATGACATCAGAGTTGTCATAGAAACGAAATGACGCCATTGCCAATTTTACTTGCAGCAGTATTTCTCGGCACTTGGAAATTTTACTCCAAAATGGTTCATGGGAGCTTTTTCCTCCATTAGCCGCCTCGATGTTTGTGAAGTTTAAGCGACATCTGTAAGAGCGTTATCTGATATTTTAAGATGAAGTTTTTATGGTTAGAAATATGGTAAAAAATAGACAATCTTGATGTTCGGCCGTTATCTGTAGAAAACGAGGCGCTTTTGACATGAAATTTCACCTCATGGTAGTTTCAATATTCTTAGAAACGCCGATTGGTAGAAAGAAGGATTTGATCAGTATGTATCGAGGCACTGTTGGCGCTTTTGTAAACATTTTGGTCTATTTTAACAAATTAGCAAATAACTTTTAAAGCGCTAGATAGATTTTTTTTTTAAAAAAATCAAGATTCCTGAGATTAACCGTCCTTTTATGTGACTTTTTAGTTTCAAGATTATTGATATGGCAGTAAAATAAGGGCTACAATTCGCTAATATTTTATAAGAAATTTTGTGTTTACAAGTGAGAGCCTCTCATTATTCAGGGTATTGTCTCCAAGTCTCATATTTTCATGGACAGCAATAGCTAGCATTTTTACATATTTCAAAAGCATTGTTAGTTAATGCTAGCGCTGTTCACGTGAAAATGACACTTGGAGACAATACCCCTGAATAATGAGAGGCTTTTAGTTGTAAACACGAAACTTCCGGTAAAAAATTAGCGAATTGTAGCCCATATTTTACTGCCTTACATTGTATCAATAATCTTGAAACTCAAAGGTCTCCTAAAACGACACTTAATCTCGAGAATCTCAACTTTTTAAAAAAATATATTGAGCGGTTAGAAAATTACACCACCATATTGTAAAAAGCTGCAATATTCCCGACAGTGTGAATATGGACACAACTCGAACAAAAACTATTTTTAAAGCTATTAAATTTAGCTAAGCTAGTAAATTTTAAGCCTGATTAGGCGATTTTATTGCTGTAAAGCGCAGGCAGTAATGGCTTGTATAATGAAGATGATGTGAACTACGGACATACAAATTTAAATAAAGATATGATCGCCACAGTTGTAATAACAGTTTAAGCAATTGCAAAATAAATAAAGCCGATAAAAAATTTTGAGGCCTTAACTGGATTCGAACTCGTGGCTTCTGAGTAGCAATGCTCTACCATTACTGAGCTACATCACTGAGATACATTGGGAGCAGGCTATACGGATCACGGCGATGGTTTGTGTACTAATAAACGTGCTCAAATGATGACAGTATTTTAATGAGAAAGTCTTTGTATATTGTTAAATATAATAATTGTTGAGTGAATACAGAAGCCATTAAACTTAAAATGGGAAAAGCGCAAAATTACCTTATCTCATCTAGTGCCTCATGCACCTCCTCTGCATTTGTGATAGTTACTTCCAGTTTCCCTTTGCATCCAACGTTTTCAAATTCTTCTTCCAGCCGTCGCTTTACTCTTCCTTTTTCTAAGTCTTCCACTAAAGAGACGAAACTTTTTGTCGTATAACAGCCCAATTCGACAAGAATTGAGTTAAACGGCTCAACGTTCCGGATGTAACATGCCACTCGGTCAACCAAAACAACGGCTAATACTTTCATTACAACATCACTGATTTTTGCAATTCCGTCAATTAAACGATTGCCAGTAACTTTAAAGGAAACCTTGTATTCGGATCGGCCATCGTGTGTACTGGTCGAACTCGAAGCAGTGAATTCAAATCCCCCTTGTTGCTGTCCTGGTGCACCTGACAATGGATGGGAAAAGGAGAAATTGTACCGTAACAGGAGCCAATCACCTTGGGCCGTTCATCTTTCATCTAATTAAGGTGTACGTCATGATCAAAGCGTGTTAGATTTTTGAAGATTCATCTTTCGCATAATAGAACTATTACCCAATCAGAGCCGAGTATGATTCCCAACAGGGTACCATACACGAAGTGACAAGCGAAGAGTCTGAGAGTTTAACTGATTGGAGATTACTGAACGGTGATTTTTGCGGGAAAAGAAATGGACGGAAAATCCAACGCACTGTGATACTTACTAGTAGCCAATGGACAACCCGGAGTGATGAACCCGGAGTGATGAGCTCCTGACCTTTATGGGTTGGTCTAGGAGCTGATATGATTTTTAACTTCTCTTTTAAATGACAAATGACAATGGCAACGCCTATTGGTAGAGCGACGCTTAGTGTGTTAAAGGTGCATTCTTTCTTCGTCGTAATGATGGTGCTTTCACAGGAATCACGCAAAAGACATGTACAATTGCGGTTGAGTGATTAGGGAACAGATATTAAGGAGAGTCTAATTTGATAATTCTAAGGTAAGAATTTACTGGAAAAATAATTACAAGTACTATAAAACCTTACGACGCCCAAATAATAAACTAAATGGTCCTAAAAAAGGGTACTTGCACATCTCCCATAATGCACCTCTGATTTGTCCCCAAACGTTTGCATAAGCATTATTTTCAATTTCTCTTGGGACGGCTGTAATACCCAGGAGAAATGAAAAACACAGGTTATGCAAAATCTGGGGGGACAAATAAGCTGCACTATGGGAGATGTACAAGTGGCGTATGTTGGTTTCACGCGCTTGCTCGGACATAAACGCTATCAAAATCAACATTGAAAGAAACGGAGCGAAGAAATCCGCTGGCGTTTCAGACCAGGAATCTAGTTTCACCCATAAGAACAAGTAGTAATCGCAGATTATTGAGTGCGTTCGTTGGTGCGTGCTTGTTTCATGGCGGCCGACAACACGTGTCATTGAGTTTAATCAATGAAGAGCTCAGAAGAAAATGAAATTAAAACTTATCCTAGTATAAAGGAGTGCTTAGCTGGCAAAAACCAAACCTTGAAGACGTTGAAAGGGTGCAGGAACGACGAAAAAGATCACCGCTTATAATTTGTAGCAAAGGAACCAAAGATTATGAACTGTGTTCTCCAAACGTTGGACGGGATTATTTTGGACTGTTTTTATCAGTTCATTTCCTTTTATGAGAAATGGTTCACTTAGAATGTGATGTCTGCCATTTGCCCTTAACGTGATGCTAAATCTCTATACAATCATTATCCTAGACACCGCCATATGATGATCACAAATATTAGCAACAGAATATTGTTATGTGTGGAGTTGGGTGGCAGGCCAATCAATTCGTCATTTCCGCATTTCCCATAATACACTTTGTTGGCGTGTTTCGTGTACCTCAACGCACGCAAACAGTTTTGCATAAGAATTGTCTTCATGTTCTCTTGGGACTTTCAATCGTCCTTGCGAGTGCTTGCATGTGTTGGGGGGCAACAAACACACAAACAAAGTGTATTATGGGAAATGTGGAAATGGCGAATTCTTGTCCTTCAATATGGCACTACGTAGTGTTTGGTCAGCGCGAATGTCAAAAACTCTCTTTTTTAAATTTGCCCGCAGAATTTGGCAGGTTTGTTAGTCTTCGAAATGATCTTTATTCTCAACGCGGAATTTTCAACTCAACAATGGTTTTAACTCATAATAATGTTGTTATGCAGACGTTTTTCAGCTAACGAACAAGACTTGGCAGAAACGTTTATTGGAGCGAGTATGGAGAATTGGTCGTTGATCAACATTAAGCTAGTAATAGACTGCAAAACAATTCGGTTTAGTGTAGCGTAGTTTTGCTGTCTAAGCCAGGAAAGGTATCCTAACCTTGTAATGTTAACGTTGCAGCATTGGAGTAAACTGTCCTCACACTGTTGGTAGCCACACATCTGTATTCTCCAGTATCTGTACTATTCATATTTGTCAGGCTCAGTTGCTTGTTATCTGCTGATAAACTGATTCTTTTGTTGGCAATTATTGCAGATCCATCTTTGGTCCAAGTAAATGTTGGTTCAGGAACACCATTTGCATCACTTGAAAGGGTTACACTTGATCCTTGCACCAGAGTCTGACTCTGTGGGTGTTTAGTGAATTCAGGCTGATCTGTAATAAGAAATGAATGACCAAATGCACCCCTAAATCAGATTGATGCACATTTTCAGTTTACTAGATAGTTACCATAATAAATTAGGACTGAAGCTAATGATATACGATTGTGAAACAAAAAAAATTTCAAGGTTTTATCCCTTTAATTAGGAACAGTGACCAAACAGAGTTTAGTTTGGTAACAATGATTTCAAAAAGAAACAAGACGCTATCAGAGCGTACACTTGGGCGTCCTTGTATCAGGCGTATGAGAGGATTTTTTTGTGTCCGGCACGTGTGAATGCCGCAATGTTGTTAACTTTTGGTTGGTTGATATGGGTGAAAAAGATTGGAGCCATAGTTGACGTTGTTGTCCAGTATGCAAATAGCTGGAACTTTTCCTTGGAAATCCTAACCTAAACTGGCTCAAAGAATTGCGAACCCACACGACTACCAACAAATGTTATGAACTGGTAGCCACTTCTCCATTTCGAGTGTGTTCGACTGTTGCCTGTCCAGCCATATTGGCACCGAACTCAAACCCAGTATAGTTAAACATCAAACAGAAAAAAAAAGCAAAGTTGGTTGTTTTCACCAAATGTGTCTAGGTCTTAAATAAGACTCGTAGTTCTGCCGTTTTCGAGGTCTTCGTTTTCGTGGTCTGCATTTTCGAGGTCTGCGTTTTTTGAGGTCTACGGTCTACGGTCTGTGTTTTCGGGGACATGCGTTTTCTAGATACCCTTTGATCTGACGGGTGGCAGGTGAGTCGGTTCAAACCCCGGGTAAGCCAAAACAAGTAACTTATTATTCCTCGAATAAATTAAAAGATTTATTGTAGCAGAAACATGCCGAAAAGTCACTAACTTGACCCGAAGCTAATGCATAATTTTATATCCATTTTTCACTACCTTGGGTCACAGTCGCGCATTCAGCTAATCCCTCAACTTAGAGTCTCACTGATATGACGGGTCACAGGTGAGCCGGTTCAAACCCAGGACAAGCCAAAAATAATTATTGTTTCTTCCTCGAACAAAGAATAAATCAGACAACTCAAAGTGATCTCGAGATATCCAAACTAATTCCGCTCTCACTTCGGGACATAAGGCAGCAACTTTGGGACATCCCTGGGCGTCGCAAATCCTTTACTTGGCGCTCTGCCCAAGTAATAACAGATTGCTAGATGTGCTGACAAAGGCAACTACACTCCCAGACAAACGTAGTTGGGAAGGTTGCACAATTTAACAGTAGTCCATTTTAATCCTCAAAAAAGAGAGTTTCTCTTTTCCTAAATATCCCCCGACCCTATATTCAATGTTGGGATATAACAGAACAATTACGTGCACAAACATTAACGTTTTCCTCAACATTGGGCAAGGGGCGGGAGAAGGAAAGAAAAAAAGACGTAAAAAAGTAGCCTACCCAACACTTTTGACAATGATTGTAGCTAAAGTTTTTAAAAGTACATGTGACACTGAGATGTTCTATGCTCACGGTCAATGTATTGATTGAAAGAGTGAGTGATGACCTAAGCAGTACACCTTTTGCTGTTCATTACGAGAAAATACGCATTCGTTTGCGTGAAACGGCGACCAGTAGCGTTAAGATACATTCATGGACGCGAAAAAACGAACATTTGCGCATAAATCAGATTCAATTACGATTTTTGCATTTTAATCAACATTCAATAAGACTTTTGGGCATTCATATGCGTCATTCGGCATACAAAAGAGAAAGATATACTTTCGTTAACGCCAGCATCAAAGTCATTAACCCCATCTTAAAAGTCAGTAGGGACATAAAACAAACATTAAAGTGCAAACACTATTCATAAAATATTTTTTATGACACTGTTTGCAATTCAGTAGCATTCCTGGACGGCCTTACGAAGGACAAACATTAATGCGCTTGTACGATCAATTGCGTGTTCCTTACATTTAATGCACAAAAATCGATTTTCAATAAAATAATATAAATTCAAACAAATTTGGCCTGGATTTTAGTCAATTATATCCCTCAATAAACTCTCTATTTAAACATTTTGCATCTTGGCAGGTAAGTTTGCACGAAGTGGTAACCATTAGCACATTTAGCTGCGGTCACAGTGTCTATGTTTCTGCGCAGTGCTTCAAGCAGTTGTTGTGTGCGAAACTCCCCTATTGGGATTTTTAGGGCTTTTGTCTCATTCCTGTTATCCATACATCTTTGAATTTCCGGACGCGATATGTCGGCCTTCATTGTCGCTTTCAGACGGCTTACATGTAATATGTGCCTATTCCACATTGTCGAGAGGGGGGAGCATATACTGTGTACGTATGAGGCGGGAATGGCCAGATCTCGGTGGGGCAGCACTGTCATACCCAAAGATCACCCACCCGTGGGGATCCATATTTGTCCTCGCCCGTGCCGGGAAGTTACCGAATAACCGAAAGAGCATTCATTACACCACCAGCTGCTGAGGAAAACATTGATAGGTGATACATGTACATGTATTGCCATGGTCATAGTCAAGTTTCGTCCTTGGCGGTACGCCCTCTCTCCCTGTCGCTCCCTACCGTGACTTTTTGCCGTCCAAATCGTAAATGTATAGCCGCAGTCTAGGCCAAACACAGAGGGGCACAGTACGTCGTGGTTCTTTAAACCAGGTAGCGTAAAAATTCTGGCCAATTTTTTTTGAATTTCTATTTTTTAATTGAAAATCGATTGAATTGATTGTTCAATTGCTCAATTGATTGTTCAAGCGCATTAATGTTTGTCTTAACCGTCATAAGGCCGTCCAGGAATGCTATTGAATTGCAAACAGTGAAATAAAAATGTTAATGAGTAGTGTTTGCACTTTAATGGTTGTCTTATGTCCCTATATAGACTTTCAAGATGGTGTAAATGACTTGGATGTTGGCCTTAATGAAAGTATATCTTTCTCTTTTGTGTGCCGAATGACACATACGAATGTCCCAAAATGTTAGTGAATGTTGATTAAAGTGCAAAAATCGTAATTGAATGTCATTTATGTGCAAATGTTCGGTTTTTCGCGTTAATGAATGTATCTGCGCGCTATTGGTCACCCTTTCACGCAAATGACTGCCTATTTTGTCTTAATAAACAGCAAAAGGTGTAGTGGTCTGGACATTACTCCAAGACCACAAAAACTGGGTTTGGCCGGGGTTAAAATTACTAACCAACATGTGTAACCAACACTGCAGTTTGCCCCTTAGCAAAAAACATAAAAAAAATGTGTTTTATAGCATTGCACAACTTTTTTGATTTTGTATAAAAGAAAAGCGAAAGGTAATCAAAGTAGAGGCCCTTTTTTCTTTCCTCTATGTTACGGAAGATCGGCTGTGCTCATATGGAGTGACTGAGATACCGTGTGGCACGAAATTTATGTGGGAGTTTATTTTGGCAGATTGGCCATTTTTTGTGTTTTGCGGGAACTAATTTTTGCGACTAACACAGACTGGTTTTTTCTTGCTGGGAATTTAATTTTTGCGATTTTCAGAAAGTACCCAGTGCCCAGCATTGATAATATTTTCGTTTTTGTTAAGTACGTGGAAAAGAAATATTATTTCTAAACAATACTACGCTATTCGTACCCTATGTAATTTAACAGACACAATTTCTTAGTACTATATTTTTGTGTAGCGAATTTAAGTTAGAGAAAATTTACTCCGGAGTAAATTTTTGCGGGAAAAGTGTTTGAGGTAATTGTTATTTGCGGGAACTTATTTTTGCGGATCGCTGGAAAAATCGTAAAAATCAGGACCCGCAAAAATTTCGTGCCACACGATAATCAAGGAAAGTAGCAGTGGAGGGTGTGTAAAACGATGGTTATTTAGTGCTACAGGATTGCACAATTGGGTTTAAGTAAAAAGTTAGTAAATGTTTTCTTACAATGTACTGTTAACATAGCAGCATTGGACTTAACTGTGCCCACACTGTTGGCAGCCACACATCTATATTCTCCACTGTCTGTACTATTAACATTTGTAATACTCAGGTTTTTGTTATCTGCTGATAAACTGATTCTATTGTCGGCAGTTACAGCAGATCCATCTTTGGTCCAAGAAAATGTTGGTTCAGGAACACCATTTGCATCACTTGAAAGGGCTACACTTGATCCTTGCACCAGTGTCTGACTCTGTGGGTGTGCTGTAAATTCAGGCTGATCTGTGATAAGAAATTAATAAATAAATGCACCCTCCTAAGAGAGTGAAGTACATTTTCAGTTTAATATCTACTTACAAAATAACTAAGGACTGAAGTGTTCTCCTTATCAGTTAGTAACCGGTAAATTTTACAGCTTAAAGCAACACTTCTTACCGCCTAAAACTGCTTGGAAGTTTAATCACTTCAAATTAGTTGTTTTAAAAAATAAAGCAAGTTGTGATCCGATCCGATTCTCACAAGGAATGAATGAATACCAGGATATTGAAAAGTAATAAAGTATACCGCAGCCTTTGTTTTTAGAAAGAGAACATTCAAGGCACTGGTAAAACTATTGGAATCAAACGTTTTAAAATGTTGTCTAAATATTACAACAGTTTGATTCGCATTAAGTAAATGTAGGTCTTAAAATAAGGGAATGACGTTTCAGAGAACTAAGCTCCTAAATTTTCCAGCAAGGGGGGTCAATGTTCCTCACTCCACTAACCCCCCCTTCCTCTCGCAGGAAATTGCGCCTCTGGCGCATACTTTTTGCCTAACCGGCCAGGATTGGTCCATTACCTGCTAAGCTAAAATTTAGGGAGAACACTGGGAATGAAGTTAAGGATGTACTTCAATGATCTTAAGACACACTGGCAAAACAAAACTTAGCTAACAGACTGCTATATGTGTTGACAAAAGAAAATAAGTCTTTTAGAGGTAAACGTGATACTGAGATACTCTATAATCACAGTCAATGTATTGATTGACAGCATCAGTGTTTACCTTAGCAGTACTCTGGACAGTCCAAGACCATGTACAAGAAACTGAGTTTACTTGAGTTACATATGTAGACACTTCTCATATCAAGATATTAATATGAATATAGAAATAAGCAGGGCTCCTTTGATAAGCAAAAAAAAACCACAAATACAAAATAATTGTGTTTTCTAGCATTGTACAACTTTTTCGATTCTGAATAAAAGAATACTGAAAGGTAATCAAGTTCGAGGAGCACCTGACAAGCCCTTTTTTTGAAATTCAGTGCTCATGTGAAGTGACTGAGATAATCCAGGATAGGAGCAGTGGAAGGAATGTAAAAGAATGTTACTTAGCGCTATAGGATTTTTCAATTGGGTTCAAGTAAAAAGTGAGTAAAAGTTTTCTTACAATGCACTGTTAATGTAGCAGCATCTGAGTAAACTGTCCTCACACTGTTGGTAGCCACACATCTGTATTCTCCACTGTCTGTCCTATTCACATTTGTAAGACTCAGTTGTTTGTTATCTGCTGATAAACTGATTCTATCGTCGGCAGTTACCTCAGACCCGTCTTTGGTCCAAGAAAATGTTGGTTCAGGAATGCCATTTGCATCACTTGAAAAGGTTATACTTCCCCCTTCCCTGAATATCTCAGGATTTTTAGGATGTGTGGTGAATGCAGGCTGTTCTATAAGAAGTAATGTCACATTTTAACAAAACAAGTACACATTTTCCGGAAATAGGGTATATGATAAGTAAGTTGGATAGCTGTTTATCATATAATCTTGATGCTAAGTACATGTAAATCAGATAATTCATACATATTTGTCGTCTCAAGAAAAATTGATACGTATAATCTAAATACTTCACTACACTATACACTATACTAAATACTACAGTTTAGACTCCCATAAGCGATAACCCAAATTGCCAATACTAGAGTAAATGATTCAGCAAATGAGAGATGGTCACAAGAAAATAGAATCAAAGGAGTCAGCTCTACTATGAACAGACCTGTCTGACTCACCTGTTTATTCAATGAAATTTCTAAGAAGTCATTTTGGGTAGGAGTTTGCCATCTATGATTACAAATTCTGTCCTTTCGAGAAATATATCCATTCATTTTGCTACCCTACTTAATTTAAAATTGGAGATGTGGTGTGCCGGGTACTGGCATTCAGGAATTGTAAGTTAAGCGGTGAAGATGGAGTAAAGAAACCATGTTGACTTTTTTTCTAACTGTGTGATAGACTTAGTGTCTTCTGGTGTCCTGAAACACTACAGACGACCTTTTCTGATGACCTTAATTCATTTCATTTTGAATTCAGAAATTATGATTAACATTTGTAAATAAGACATGTATTATATGTATGTAAAGCAGAAAGATGCTTTATGTTCGTATACGTCTTGCTCTTGCCTTTTGTGCTGAGATAGAATCATAATAATCTGGATTGTGTAGATTATCCTCGGTAAGTTGTATCAAGTTTTTCTAATAATCATAACTCTGTATAACAAAATTCTCAAATCTGATTGGCTATCAACTGTCCTGATTTCAGCACTAATAGGACGGTGTAATAGGACAGTATATGTCATGTAATTGGACGGTATGTGCCATCACTCGCGCACACGTAAATGGATTTTTTCACTGCTAGCAAAAAACCTCTCAGAATTTCTTGTGTTTTAATCAGAAAAAAGCCTAAAACATCACAAATTTTGTTATAGTTACGATTAATTGGTAACAGAACTTCGTGTCATCCAATTCACTCTGAAATCATACTAGTGATTAACAAAATGGACTCCTGCGACGCGTTCGCCCAATTTTGTTAATCACTCACATTATTTCAGACTGAATTGGACTCCACTCAGTCCAATAACCATTATTAGTAAAATCCAACTAGTCGTTTATTATCAATACTGCACTCTGATTGGTTGAGCTACTACTAGGCTAGGTGTTATAGCCCACTAGTAGAGAAAAGCGCCAACCTTGAAAACCAAAACAATGGCGGCTGAATCGCATGTTGCTAGCTTAAGTTGTTTTGTCTCGATATTTTTGACCAACTACCTGTAGTTGGATTTACTAAAACTGTCAAAATTATTCCTCTTGCCCTCATGGCCTCAGAGTCAATAGCCCATTAGGCCTTCGGCCTCGTGGGCTTTTAAGGACCAAAACCACGACGACGACGGCAACGAGCACGTCAAAAAACAATAGGTTAAATGAGCAAAACAACAACTCTGCACGTGCATCACGCTTTTTTGTACATTTCTTTGCCTTCACTGCACAACTGCGATGCGAAATGACCTAATTTTAAGTTTACTCGGGAACGGGAACGGTAAGGCGATAAATTGTACCATCTCTGTCCGAACTTGAGCGCGTTCGCCTCTCTTCAGCTCTTTCCAAAACCCCCTTCTTTTAAGTAACAGGGCGAATTGGGATAATCGCGAAAAAGTTTAAAATGATGCGAAGTCTGTTTTTCAGCGACGTTGTCATGGACGTCGCCGTTGTCGGATCGTAAGGTCCCTATTGACTCAGTGCCCACTCGGGTTCGAGGAATAATTGTTAATGAATCGTCCAATAAATGCTGCATTCTTCTGATAGGGTGTGGCATTTATTAAAGAACGGTGTTATTTAGAATTTTTCCCAACCAAACAAGCAGCGCTGTTGCAGCGCTGCAGAATGGCTTCAAGAAGCGCTGCAAAAGAGCTGTAAAAGGGCTGGCTGCAGCAGTAGCAAATTTTGTATTTAAATCCTTCGGAGAGTAGGAAAAATTCTTCCTCGTTAATTGTGTTGTTCTCAACGCTAAAAAGAAGCAACTCTCGTATTTCTTTAAACGAAGGCATTCAGTGCAGTCTACCTACTTCGGCGACAAGCCGAGACGGGAGCTTGCTTGAACATTTGTTTTTCCCGCTTTGGACGACGTTCTCGACCCAGACCTTACTCATCTTCTCTCGTCGTCGTCCACAAACTCGTCCTGGCTGCTTAAGGTTTCCACTGTACTTGTATGAACTACGAGAGTCGCTATTTCCAGTTCTCGTTAACCTGTATATTTTCCTTCCCTTTTGCTGTTTGAAAATCGAATAGTTTAAGGTTCAAAATGTCAAAGCAGAAGATCTGGAGTGACTTTAACCGCCTTGAGTGTGGTAGTACGTAAAACAGAAAAAATATTCGCCGGAACATGGAGTTTCAATAAGCGCGTGTAAATCTCCTCTTCAGTTGAAAGAATGGTGTTGCACGGTGGATCTAAACCTGAAAATATTAAACTAATGGTGCAGATACATATATAATTCATGATACCGCAGTGTGCTTACATTTTCGTCTCGACCGCCTTTTATACGGTTAAATATAAGTAACCTTATGCTTATCTTGGCTGAAGCATATCCTCTAGTACACTGTCTCCTTCTGTCTCTACACTATTAAATAAAAACCCAGTAAATGTTCACAAAAGCCTGCACTTTTTTGCTACAAATATGTGAACAGCCTCTTGATTCAAATTCAGTTAGTAAATACCATCAACATTACCATCATCAAAAGAGTCCCTGTTTGCCGTAAAATACAATTGAAAAGGAAAATGTCAAACAACAATATAAAATGGCCAAACGGTGTGTTTAGCGAAAATGGATTCGAAATCAATAGCATGTGATCGCCCTTGTGAAATTTGCCTACATCACCAGTTTTATCTCTTCCGAGGTTTAGTTCCATCGTTAAAACCATTTTACCTGCCTTGAGGCGGGAATTTGCACTACAAGCACTAATCGTTCCTTCAGTTCTGCCATGCTCTTGGCCTTAAAATTACTCTTATTCTTCTGCTTAGACATTTTTCAAGGGCACTCAACGTCAATTTTCGAAAAATATCTGTTCGGAAGACGATTTGAGATCTAGAATTTTCGGGACATTTTTTGTAAAATTTCTTGCTTGTGACCTCTCCTAGGATTTTCGAACATCCAAAAAGTGGTATGATTGCCTTTTTTTAACGGATTTTTACCCTAAAAAGGTCACCTAGAATTTTCAGGAGCCTTTTTTCTGGCTGGAATTTTCGAAAAGGTAAGCTTTGATCCCTATAATTTTCGGATCATTAGACTTTCAGCGAGGAAATCCGAACAGATGAAAAATTTTTAGGGGATAAAAATATGCCTATATCTACAGTTTAAATACTAAAATAAGTTCAACAATGCCATTTTTAAGTGGTTTTGAACTATATTCTCGATGGCTGCCCCTGATTTTTAGCGGGGCTTGACGAAGTCAACTATTTTTTAGAAGTTATCCGCTGACAAGTTTTTAGTTTTCAAATGATCGCAGACTTAAAGGAGCTGTGTCACGAAATTCAGCCAAATTAAGAAATTACAAAATGCCCGTTAAATTAAGAGAAACATAAAAATAACCGCTTAAAACTTTAACATAACAGAAACAACAGATGCCACGGATGGGTAAAACTGAGAAGATTGAAACGGATTGAAATTAGGGTTTTTGAAAACTGTTCAGCCTAACAGTTTTTCAAAGTTGATCCCTGCTGCTTGCAACTTCAGAAATAATGTTCAGGAGACATATTTGTTTGTCTTGGATCTCTGATTTTGTCATTTACCTGTAATTTCTTTGCTTACTTTAAGTTCCAGAGCGATTGAGGGCGGGTAAACAGCAAAATTAAACAAAACGAACTGGACTGCCGTGGCACAGCTCGTTTAAGTTTAATTTTTTTAAAAATTCATATAAAATATATTGTGTTTATGTGCCACACAATTAATATTTTGATTTCAAACTGACCTCGGACGCGAAAATTCAGCCAGCTGTTACAGGCAGGAAAGACAGTTTCTTTTGACTTTGCTCACCATGGTCACGCGTTGGTCACGCTCTACTTTCAATTTTTATGCTCTGGCTCTGATTGGTCAAAATTTGACAGGTGAGTTCATGCGGAAAATTTATGCAGCATCTTCAATCTTGTTTACTTTGACAGCTGAAGCTGACAGAGTTTTGTGTCAACTTGTGATGGTTTTTTTGCATGTTACTAAAACGGGGAACGGGGAGCCGGGAGCGGGGAACGGAAGTCTGGGAACGAGTAGTCTGCGGTGACCTCCATAAAAATCCAATATGGCCGATGATCGATGATAGAGAACCGTCGAAACAAACTTAACCGATAACGTCGCTATTTTACTTGAATTATATGCTCATGAGGTGCTTGAAATAATACGGAGGTAATAACTTCATGACATTTTCTACCTTTTTGCGTTTTACTAAACAATTATCCGTAGGAAACAAAATGTGCTCCAACAGCAGTTGAAAGAAGCCAATCGGGACAAAAACTCCCAAAGCACATGTACAGCCATATTTGGAACTCAAGCGAATCTATACTGAGTCTAGCCCACAAAGCAATGAACTACTTTTCCATGATAGATAACATACATGGACGTAGTCAGGTAGCTTGCGTGCAGACTTCTCCTATTTCCTTTGATAGAGATGACTGCTTTGAAAAATGTTTTTGACCATGTCATCACATAATTAGTAAGACTCCTTTAAAAATCTGGTTCTGGTTTTAATATTAGTAGGTCTACTACACTGCAAGCATTCACGATATAGAAGTGTTTCACTGATAAATGAAAATAAAATAATATCAGTTTATTATTTTGTCTAACAACTTGTTTCAGGTCAGTTTGCCCAGTATAGACCAGTATAATGACCCTAATGGAACCTAATTCACTCATTTTCCTCACCCTAATCAGTGAACTTCAAAGTTGTACAGTGGCCATTTGTCTTTCTACCAAATACCCCTGACCACCCTTTCCTGAATCAAAACCATTGGATTGCATTGAATGCAAGATTCTCACTCACTGCAGATCCTCAATTAACCCCCCCCCCTAAGAATGAGACCCCAATCTCCTCCCTTTCTTTTGAAGAAAAATGAAAATTGTCGTAAAATAATCAAAGTACCTCTTCATGGGCACGAAACGTTTGGTGCAATTCATACCATACAACATCACTGTATCAAGCACTGTTCTCGGTGCAGGAGGAGGGGGTACTATAATGGCCTAAACAGAGAGGCTTCCCCCGAAAGGAATACCTTTTTCAGGCTTCAGGTACATGAAAGGGAGGGGGTTTTCATAGTTGAAGTATATGAAAGGGACCAAATGAGATCAGTCACAGATGCATTTTATGGATGTGAGAGACAAGAAAACCTGTATTAGCGATTTATTCATATTGTAAAGATGGTGTATTTACAGCAGTTAAAAAGGGATGCAGCGTTCAAAATTAGGTATGCGAAAGAGGTACCATTTGTCACTAGAGGGTAAACAAAAGGGGTACCTTTTCTGTCTAAAATGGTACATACAAAGGGTAAGGGGTTGGTCCCTGGGGAAAGCCTCTTCGGGGAGTACCCCCCCCTTCCCTCTGGATTACTGTTACTCTAGTCTGATTCTTCTCTTTAATTTCTTTGATACTGTGCTTCATTAAATGAATTTTAATTCATATAAAAGGTTTTTGCCCCTTTTTTGAAAACCCTGATGTGTTAAAAGAAATTATGCCCCCTGGAGGGGAAATAAAATCAGTGAAAATGGGTATCAAGATCTGTTGTGTTATTTTACATGAAACATTGAGTAAGTGTAATGTGGCCACTATACACATACAGTTGCGCACGTTTACTGAAAAACATATTGCTGGTTTTCAGTGTCACACCATTCAAAATAGATCAAAATAAAAATGAAAATCGTCCAATAGATAAAGTCCTTAATCTGGGAAATGAAAGGAGGTACGTATACAAAGACCCTCGCCAAGATTCAGGTCAGAGGAATATTTCGCATTCGAGATATCCGAAGAAATGTTTTACCCAAACTTATAGAGATTTGTATGGAGACGCCATGCTGGTACTCACCTGGATGAGCTCCAACATGGCGGACGGAAACCAACAGAAACAAAAAGCGTGAATTTATTCGTCAAGAAACTCATAAACATTAAAGTAATACTTTTTCTAATACATGAACTGTTTAGATAGCAAAATTTCCTGAAATAAGTAATTTTTTTAACCTACATGACAGCTCTCTTGGCTGTCATGTAAATGCCGCGTCACGCAAAAGCTTAGAAATTCAAGCGTACTCTATCACAAAACCAAGAACCCTTTTGAAGCAAAAATTTGTATGAAAATTAGTTTTCAGCTGCTCTAATGCATCGAAAAAGTAAAATTTCGGTAGGATAATAGTTTTCTAGTTTGAATTTTAGTGACGTCATGTGAAAACCAACAATTGGCACTACAATCTTTTGCCTCTCATCACTTGTGTGAGACCTTAGACTTTATTTCTAAAACTACAAAGAGCTTGCTTGAAGGCTTTTCAACCACCTTCTAATAAGCTGCCAACCTCTGCAACATTGATGATGTGACGCTTGATGGTAGGTGCACTGCAATATTACTGAATCAAGCTAATAAAGCTGCTTGACAATATTAACTGGTTTAAGTCACTGACACATTCAGTTTTACACTGAGCTTGAAATATTTTTCTCCACAGTAAAAATAATGTTTTGTTTCTGCAAAAAACATTAAAAGGAGTCGCCCTTGAAAAAAAAAAAAGCATCCCGAGGGCTAAACAGAGGAAGTATACTTCCTATGCATATTTTAACAGCAAGCCTTTAGAAAGTACCTTCCAACCAAAGTACTTCCCCCATGTATACTTGCAACACTTAAAATTGCAGCTCAGTTGTGGTTCACTTTTATCCTAAGTTTGAATTTTATTCTCTTTGTTTTGAACTCATAATCATAAAATTCATATTACCGTACCCCCAAACAAAGGGAAGCAAAATTTAAACCAAGGTTATAATAAAATAAAAACACCAGAATAGCCTTTTGCTTTGAAATAACTGACATCTTTAAGAGCAAGGTATAGTTGATATTCCTGGCACCTTGCCCTTTAATACGTTTGAAGTTGCCTTTTATTGATGTATTGAATAACCTGATCCATCTTATCTTTTCAAATAATACAATTTGCACTTACTTCTCATCATAGGTTTGTAAATATAATATCATTAGACTTACAGTTTTATCTCATCGCCAACATGTTTTAATTTGGGCTTGAAAAAACGCTACAGCTAGGAAGGAGCTCCACTGCTACACTATTACTGTCGAGGAAATACACCTGACTGCTTCGATCTACGTTATCTTTCAGCATGTATTTAAGCCAAAACCCTCCGAAACACGCCAAGCAAAAGTAGTTCATTGCTTTGTGAGTTAGACCCAGTATAGATTCGCTTGAGTTCCAAATATGGCTGTGCTTTTAGAGTTTTTGTCCCGACTGTAGCTTCTTTCAACTGCTGTTGAAGCATACATATTTTGATGTTTAGTAAAACGCAAAAAGGTGAAAAATGTCATGAAATTATTACCTCCGCATTATTTCAAGCACCTCATGAGCAGATAGTTCATTAGTAAAATAAGGACCTTAAGTGTTGTTTCGACGCTTCTCTATCATTGATCTTACCATCTTCGGAGACCCAGGGGCAGTCAGTCGGGTCGGGAGAAAAGGCGGAACGAAAGTTTTCAAGTACTGGCGAAAGAGGCCCTGGGAACCGACTCTCACCGAGCTATTTCCAAAACTTCAAGCGGATGCCGGATCCTGATTGGGCACAAAAACTGCTTTGTATTATTGTGCCCAATCGGCGAACAGTTTCTCCTAAGTTCTTTTCGTGAGTTCGTACACGACGGTTATTTTTTCGATCAAGGCTTGTCTGGCTCATGCACCAAAGAAATGCACGCAGTCAGGAAACTTTCAGTTTGATATAAAATCCCCGTCTGATTTCAAAATACTGTCTGCCCGAAAACAAAAGACGGTTTTCCATAAATACAAGCTTGAGCTTAAGACAGGTATTTACGCTTGCATCGGTCACGTCTTGCCCAAATATTAGGGATTTTTTAAAAGATACCACGACGGCTGACAACCACGAAATCGTCGCATGGAAAGGGGAATTCACTTTTTTTCAGTTTCTATGCAACTCGCTTACTTTGTCAAATGCAATCATGCAAGCGAACTCTTCTGGAGCTGAATTCTATCAACCATATCCAAGTACATAAAAAGAATGAATTTTGTCATTGTTTGTTTACATCCTTCACAAAACATGAAATTAGGCATTTTCACGGGTAGTCGTGCAGTTGAGGGCAAAGAAATGTACAAAAAAATGTAATGCACGTGCAAAGTTATTGTTTTGCCTTGTCAAGCTATTGCTTATTTGACTTTCTCGTCGGCGCCGCATCTTTACCTTCCTATTATTTAAGATACAGTGTGATGGGTCAAAAACAAAATGTTCTCGGGGCAAATTGAATTGCTCCTGCTGATAGCATCCCAAACGTTCGCCGATTGGGCACAATAGTACAAAGCATTTTTTGTGCCCAATCAGGAGCCGGCATCCGCTTGAATTCTTGGAAATAGTTCGGTGAGAGTCGGCGGCCATTTTGGATTTTTATGGAGGTTACCGCTGACTACTCGTTCTCAGACTTCCGTTTCCCGTTCCCTGCTCCCCCCTCCCCATTCGCCGTTTTATATTAGTAAGATCCGTTTTTAACTGTCTTTTTCCTCTGGATGTACGAAATGAAATTCAGCTGCTATCTGACGTCTCCTGTTATTCACGGCTAGTTGGTTTTTGGTTGAGAAATACGTCACTTGTCAAAGTCGGAAATCCGATTTCGGATGGCATCGTTTTCGTTTTTCACCTTGCTTGATGCACAAGGGTTGAAAAGTCTGAAGGGATACTGGCCTTACTTGATACCTTTCAGGAGCTGCATCTCGAATGGTAAGCCTGAGTAATCATTGTATTTGATGTTTGTTTTTTATATCTAATTTAATGAAGTCGGGCGTAGTTTACGCGGCTATTTAGTGATTTAGTTATGCACGTTTGTAAGATTTGAGACAGTGATCTGAGTATCAGGTTTGATATAAGCTTACAGAACTTTAAAAAGCCTTTAGGCATTTTCTCACCGCAAATAGAAAGAAATCGTTCCAAAGAATATTTAGTTATCATTCTGGCTGTAAAAGAAGGCTTTGAGCGATTTTCTTGCCTAGAGTTCATCTTTGAAAAAAGTAAATACCGGGAAGCCGGCTTAAAACATAAACACTTAAAAAGCTTTAAGCTTGAAGACTCAGGATTTTTAGAGACACTTTAATATTTGTCTTTGTGAATGAAAAATGTTGTCTCTGTATTTGTTCACCGAATTATATTTCTTTTATTGATTGTTGGTAGTCTCTCTTGTAATTTTAATCGCTGTGGTGTTTGTTTTTAGTCTTTCAGTGAACATCGCTTGCAGGAGTACTCAAAATGCCGCGCGTATCAAATGCTTTTAAGGATTACACATCGATAAAACCTTTCAATAAAAAATAAACAAAATTAATTCTTTATTATGTTGGAGCTTAACTCTATTCATTTTCGTTCAAATACTCGCTACAACTCGCACTGCAAAGGTGAGAACCGGCAGACCGTATAGGTGATTTTGGCAATTTTTTAATGGCTTAGCTAAAAGCCAACGCTTGCTTCGATCGTTCTGAATATTGAATGAGTGGAACTTGTATTGCAAAATTGTGAAATACGTACTCTGAATACTGCATTCTGTCCGAGGTCTGTGTGATAAAAACAATACCTCATAGTACTGTTTCACCTCAGATGTGATGTATAAATGGTATAAAAGCAGGGGCACCCAACGGCAATTTTCGGGAAAATATCTGTTCGGAAGACGATTTGAGATCTAGAATTTTCGGAGAATTGGTTGCAAAATTTCTTGCTTGCCTGCCTCCCCTAGGATTTTCGAACATCTACAAAATGGTATAATTACTCATTTTTAACGGATTTTGACCCTAAAAAAGGCCACCTAGAATTTTCGGGAGCCTTTTCATGGCTGAAATTTTCGAGAAGGTAAGTTTTTATCCCTATAATTTTCGGATCACTAGATTTTCAGCTAGGAAATCCGAACAGATGAAAAGTTTTTAGGGGATAAAAATATGCCTATATCTACCGTTTGAATACTAAAATACGTTCAACAATGCTATGTTAAGTGGTTTTGAACTATATCCTCGTTGGGTGCCCCTGTAAAAGGTTGTTTTACACGCACCCAGATTTGTTGGCAAGATTTTGTAAAGTAAACTTGTCGAACGCAAAAAATTCGGCCCGAATTTTTTTCCAGGCCTAATTATTCTACAGTGATCAAGAGCCATTATGGCTCTTAAATGTGATCCAAGATGATTGCTATTTTTGGGGTGTACATATGAGGCTATTAGCTCGATGTAATATTTGGTTCACTCTTGGGCTGTTTGCAAATTATTTTTTTTTTCTCGAAAATCACTTAGCCTTTCCCTTAAAAGTAACATGAATGTGCTCTAAAGTTAACTGAATTGTGGAATACAGGTTTACTGTTTGATTTAAATTATAAATTTATTAATGGGAGCCTCGCTCTTAGCTCTGGTTAAATCTATATATTGAACCTTAAACTTTTCGAGTTTCAAACAGCGAAAGGGAAATAACATTAGGGACTTTAAGATCCAACGACGCGGACGACAACAAGAACGTCAAAAAAAACAATAGGTTTAATTAGCAAAACAACAACTTCGCACGTGCATCACAATTTTTTGTACATTTCTTTCCCGTTTTTGCACGACTACGACGTGAAAATGCCTAATTTCCCGTTTTATGGAGGACGTAAACAAGCAACGACGAAATTTTATTTCTCTTTCTGAGCTTGAATATGGTCTCTTGAAATTCAGCTTCAGGAGGGTTCGCCTACAATCGACAAAGTAAGTGGGTAGGAATAATCACTATAGAGACCGAAAGAACGCAAATTCAATTTTTAAGCGACGTTCTTGTCGCCGTCGCGTCGTTGGATCTTAAAGTCCCTATGTAATTAACGCGAACCGATGAAGCTTACCATGTTTTTGTTGTCCTTAATATGCACACGATATGCCACAAAACTATCTAGGAAAGATGAGACAGACTATTTTTCTCGAAACTTCGTGTGAATATTAAGGACAACAAAAACTCGCCTCATGGTAAGTTTCATCGATTTTTATTTCCATTTTCTAGCAAATTTCTAGACCTAAACTTCGCCCCATATGTTCTCTATATTTACTCATGTCATGAAACCCGCACGTGACACAAACAGTGAGCCTGGGTTACATGTGGTTTGTTTATAACAAAGGTCATCAAAAGTCACATGAAACTACACGTGAAATCTGACGCTCATAACATTCCCAAACTCGCCAGTCACGGAATGAAAATTTTATGAAATTTATTGAAATCATTATTCCGAAAGCATAGAATTTGGAGGTTTATTTAATAAGTGATCTTCCCAGCGCACAAGCTTACTCACATTTCTTAAAGGTACAGTCAAAGTTTTCTGGCGATTCATGTCACTGGCGCTCAAGAAAGTTGTGGCCTATCAGATCTACCGCAGCTGATTTTGTAGCCTTACTGCAGCTACTTCGTAGCATCTGACGGTCGGCAACTGCGCTGCAAAACTGCTGCCGAGAGTTTCAAAGGCAGCACAGCGCTTTTGCATCCCCCTGCAACTTGAATTAAGCTGCTGTTTGGCTTCTAAAGTGCTGGTAACAGCTGTTATTTAGCTATACAGCTGTTTTGAAGCGATTTTGTGGCGCTGTACAGTCGATCTCGGCGTTTAATTCAGACCATGTACCAGCGTTTATTTGAGGGTTGCATTTAAGCAAGTAAAATATGAAATATCAATCTTCATTATTAACATTACTCACCTAATATTCCATTAGACAGGAAACAAGGAACAGCTTTGCCCTCAATGTTTATCGTCAAAACTCCCACAAGATATTTTTCCGAGTTATCCTCGTCAATGATAGGGGATCCGCGTAATGTGAGATCAGATAAATTTTTGTCAACAAGATTGTAACTACCATTGCTGTATTTTAATTCCAGGTCTATACATTTACCTCGATAAATCGTGTAAACCCGGAAGTCTCTCTTGAGTTGCTGAACATTCAAACACTTTTTATGGAGACTCTTTATGTTAAAGCCGCTGTCTTTCCGATCACACAGAACTGAGGAAAAGTGTCCACGCTGTGTGATTCTTGAAGGTTTGAGTTGGTAGTCTTCGAAGTGTTTGCGTGAATAGCGGAGCAATCGACATTGCATGATTGGTTCTGGGCCTTTCCAAGTGTCAGTGACTAACAGAACAGAGCCTTCGTTTTGTCCTTCAATAGCAACCGCACATGCCATTCCTTTTGTCTGGTGATTATTCCCTCTGATGGCGTAGATGGCCTTTTTAAATACACTGCTGGTAAAGCCCTGCCCCTCGCCTATCCTAGCCATGATTAGAGGGCGAAATTATGCAGGGTTAGGACGCTAGTTTTTCAGCAGGTATTGTCAGTTCCGTACGCGCTAACATTCCCCGACACGACTGACCGCCAATCTGAGGCGCTGGCGCTGTATAAATGTGACCGAATGGCCTGCGAGCGACGTTTTGTTGTTACTATACTGCCAGGTCTAATCACATTCTCACAATTTATAGCTCCTTCAGGCCTTCACCCACGTCATATCCACATTCTTCCAAGGGTGGGCCAATCTCGTACCCAGAGTCTTCTGGCTTTTTGGTCAGCGGGGCAACGCCAGCAAGTACTCTGGAATAATGGAATTAGATCTTTTTTCTGATTGGTCGCCAGCAACACAAAGGAGGTCCGACAGGAAGTTGGTAGACCATGAGATCCGACCAATCAGAGTGCGTCATTTGCGTGGATACTCGCGACCTGGCTCCTGGAAGATCTGTGGTGAAATGTACAGTACCGCAAATGATCCCGAGACCGCAAATGATCCCAAAATGGACCTCAAATGATACTTTACCCAACTGATCCCTAAAGTCGACCGCAAATGAATGCCTGAAAAATTGAGGAACAGAATCGATTTTATGGGACTGATTATGAAAAAGGAACTTTTTTCTCTCGGCTTCTGAAGAAAAAGGGAAGGAGGACGCCACATCTCTCTTGTCTACTGAGGAATACAAAGCCGGGCACCCTCTACGTAATTTTGATTTTTCTCTGAAGTGTTAATTTTACTAGACTACGAGTAGTCTCTATTTTTCCTCATGAATAGTCACGCGCGCTCGCCTTTTTCTCGCTGTACTATCCCTGAGGAAAAATGGGGACCTCCTCGTAGTTCATAATTTTACTTGATAAACAGCAAGACATTTGTTTGTACCCAAGGTGCCCTTTACGAAACACGGCATAATTTAAAATCAACAAACGTCAAAATGCCCCCCGAACTTATCAATCTCCACAGGTTTCGGCTTATTTCGAAATTAATAGCAACTTGATTACAGCTAATGAACATGTTGCGAATAGTTATATTGACGCTTATAAGTACTGATTCATTTGTCGTGCTCTTGCTGGAGACAGTTACCAGTAATCTAAATCTGGTAATGAGAAACGCAAGAGCCAGGTAAGCGGTAGTTATCGCGTGACAAAACACCGTAGGAGACCATCACGTTCACGGACTAAAAGAAAATCGCTTATAAATACAGTATTCGGATCTAGGAGGCACTTTGTAGGAATTAAAATTAAACAACCTGAGACCCTTATTTAGCTGCAATGCCAAAAGAGCACTGCATTTCAAAAGAGGTCAAGGAAACACTCTTGCGTCAAAGGGCAAATCATACTGAGTTATACTGACCAGAAACAATAACCGCAGAAAATCAATATGCGTGTCAGTACCTCTCAGTATGAAATAAGCGGCAAAAATCCCATTTGCTCAGTCAAACCGTTTTCCTTAATAGAGCATAATTACCTGCCAGAGACAAAATTCATTGGAACAAGCAGCATTTTGGGATGAGGTAAAAGTGGTGTGTTGCCTACCGACCCCGTTTTTAGACTTGAATGATTTTTTTTTCATTTACTTTTTATCCATGTAGTTTGAGAAGTGAATTGACTCGATGTTTTTGAGTCCAAGCCATTCGTATTTTTCTTTCGGGATCATTTGCGGTCGTCTTTGAGGATCACTTGCGGTCTCGGGATCATTTGCGTTTGGGTACGAAAGCTCAGGAGGGTCTTCCGACTTCCGACTTCCAACTTCCGTAGCAATAAAAAGCGGTCGTACGGCTACACGACTTTTACCTCATTCCAAAATGCTGCTTGTTCCAGTAACGTTTTTTTCCTTCTGCCGGGTAGATTATGCTCTGGAAGGTTCTACATTTTTTATGAGCAAATGCGATTTAAGCCGCCTGTTTCACACTGAGAGGCCAGGTGGTGTGCGCACTACGATCACCAAGCATCATGGGCAGTATTCAAAATCTGATCATTTGTGTCAAGACGGCGTTGAGAAAACACCTCGACTGCGGAGTAAATATTCGTCAATTACGCTGTAGAAATATACGATTTTGCTTTGAATCTCTTCCGGAAGCTTTTGAAAAACAAAGTCTGTCGAATTCTCAGGGAAAAAAACCGTCTCATTCCGTTGATGAGTGTATTGTGGTGTCTTTTGTTCGTAATCACTTGCATCCTGTTTGCAACGGGCCGAGAAAAGTCGGCACAGAATCGCTTTGTTCAATGCTTCAGTTATGAAAAGCACAGAAGGTAAAGACCCGCGGTTCGCCGAAAATTTGAATTCACCGTGAAATCAGTTCAACTAGTGCTAAGAAGTAGTGATATGCATAGCTGTGATAATAATTATACTCCTTAAATACTAGGACCCTCTTCAGAATACCCTGCCACGGTATTTAAACACGGTAAGCTTACTTTCTTTTGTCACTCAGCAAGATGTTCACTTGCTAGGTATAATAAGAGAAGTTGTGGGGGTCATCTCTTCAAGGAATTAGTTGTCTGTTGGCACCAAGTCTGCATTTCCTTTTGTTTAACATCTGTATTTATCATCACATGAAGACAAGTAAATAGAGTAGAGAGTATCTGTGTATAGAGATTGACTTGTGTCCTCGTTATAGATAATATTGAGCACCTTTATTCAAGCAATACTGCAAATTTTTGATACATATTTCCTAGTGGTATGAGTCATAGGATGTCTCATAACTGAATTGAAACTGAAAATGGCATATTTATGATAACAAAGCCTGATGCAGTCAATAGATTTTAAAAGCTATTCAACCACTATTTGTTTTTAAAGTGATTGTGTCAGTACGTACAAACACATGTTATTACGTATTTTTTTGTACTATTAAAACTCTTCAAAATGTGAAATTCATACATGTTTTCAAATCTCCTGTAATCAGGGCTCTAAGACTAGTTTACATACGGTGCAGGGAAGTATAAGAAACTTAAGGCTGCCTGCCTTGGGATGAACATCACTCAAAACTAAGACAAAATACCGTAAAATTCCGAAGATAAGCCCCAGAGCTTATATTTTTCAAAGGTCTTTTTTGAGGGGTTTATTTTTGGAGGGGTTTATATTCGGGGGGACTTATGTACGGAGGGAAATTTGCGGTTAAAAATCGATTGGGCTAGCCTTATTCTTGGTAGGAAATTTACCGTTTTTCTTTGTTTTACTTTGTATTTGAGGGCAATTTCCAAGTACAACCCCCGCCCCGGGGGGCTTGTATTTGGAGGGGAGATTTAACGGAGGGTTTTTTGCGTTACGAGTCGTGGTATTGTCTTTTTAAGTAGCCACACCATACCACGTCATATTGTGTAATTTCCGGTCATTATTTTACTTCATACATATTTCTGTAAATTCGTGATATCTCAATAAACCTGATGAAGACTAGTATTGGCCAGTCGAAATCTCGCAACTTAACTCTATTTCACGTTGTTTGATCAGTCCCTGCAAAAGTCTTCTTGACTGTAACGTAAGAATTGAAGTTTGTCAAAATGCAGTTTTTATCAAAATCGATATCACTATGACAACAATAAACAGAAAACTTTAAAATCGATTTAATCCGACTTTCGCGCGATCTAGTCCTGCTACTGGAAATTCGTCACCAGGAACTTAAAGTGTGGTGTTTAGCAAATAAGCTCTGTGAGAAGTAAAAAATTCTGTAAGTTTGAATTCAAATAAGACGAAAATATATTTCAAACCTTATATGTTCAATAACCGTGATAAATTGTTCAATAAAAAAAGTTCTAAATGACTCAAATTAATCTTAAGTAGCGTCAAAAGGCTGCTTGATATCATATTTCGATGCAAGGAAATTTTGGTGTATTTCCTTTCTTGCGATACTGAAAACTAACCTGTTTTAATTTCTCACCACCTGTCTGAGTACAACTTTATTCTAAATTTTGACTTTTAGCGCTTTTCTTGTTTGTTAGTACGAGTTGAAAGAGCAGATTAAAATTAGGTGACCCCGTAAATTTTGAGACAGCCGTATACCTCAAAAGTAGCAATTGCAGCGGCCGCCGAAAATTAGAAGGATTTGTATGAGAAAAAACAACTCTTGTCGCCCAGTCACGCACGAGTGGTTTTCCATTCAACTCCTTCTAAATTCGGAAATTTTTAAATTGTCGTTAAGCCTCGGTAAAGGAAAACGAGGTGCACAGAAAAAAATTCTAGTCGCGCGAGTATTTTCGCTACAAAAGCAAGTTATATATCAAATTAAAGCTAAAAGACTAAATTACCTTATAAAAGATTTTATTTCATCGAATTTCAAAAGGCGCTTAAGTTTTTTGCTCTCGAACTCAGAGGTATCGAGTTTACTGCTGAAGCTCCAGCCCTTTCGCGTTGTTAACTATTCAGTTCCTTTTTATTGCGTCTTGACAGATAAAAGACCTAAAGCCTATGTCTCGTGTTAGCGGAATTATTGCATTTCAAACTAAAAAGTCGAATCTCGAGCGCGATTTACGCAAAGAAACTGACATAAAATGAGTTACAAAGGGAAATCGGAAAATTCCTCACACCCTTTTTGAGTCTATATCATTATCCATCATATCTAATTTAGGGACGGACCATTAGAAAAGTTATGGGGGGGGGAGGGGAATTTTTGAGCCGCAGGAATTTTTTTTCGTTATGCTTGTATGAAAATGAAAAAAAAAAAAAATCGAGCTAGTTTTCTAATGGTCCGTCCCTTAGGACCCACTCATGCCAAAAATCCAAAAAAAACAAAATCGAGCTATGTACTAAAATTTTCATTTACCGAGACCTTAAATCTTTCCCTTACACATTTAAGGGCTCACGACAGTTTGAAAATTTCGACATTTACAAGGATTTGTTTGGAACACCATTAAGCGTGACTGAAGTTTTCAAATCTTCAAAATTTTTCAAAAGCAAACTGTTTTCGTGATATACTTTCATTAACGCCAACATTCGAGCCATTAACATCACCTTGAAAATCATTAGGAAAGACAAACATTTGTTTAAGTGCAAACGCTATTCATTAA